TTCAATGGTGATGTAGGGGCTTGATCGGTGAGGAGGCAATAGCTTGTCAAATAAAGTGATTTGTGGTGATTTTGAATTACTTGAACAGGATCTTTTTTGGGGGAAACTTGGGTGGGGGGTGTGAGTATTTTTTGGGGGAAACTTGGGGGAGGGTGTAAGTATTTTCTGGGGGAGTGCCCCCATGCATTCCGCTAGATATGCCACTGATGGTATGTTAGCATTGCATAGTAGTAGGCCTATGATAACTTGTTTTAGCATCACATAGCATTTAAGCATGTTAGCATTGCATAGCGTGTTAACTTTTGTTAGAATCGTATGTTCACTTTGCTTTGCATAGTATGTTAAGATCTGTGCTAGCCTTGTATTGGCATAAGTTAAGCTAGACTTAACAATTAACTTAATTAAAGATGCAATGTGATTTTCTTTTACATTTGTTCATTAAATCTATTGAGTTTCTTGATAGTGGTCACTCATTCTAACAAAATTGAAAAATAAGTGGGACCCAATCAATTCAACACTTGACGTGAAGTTCTTTGTTCCTATTACTACATCCATAATAGTTTTAGCAGCTGCATTAAAAACTTATCCTATATTATCTTATCTAAATTGTTTTGATTAATTGTATCTAATATGTATATTGTCAATTCTATTAAAATTAAGATAAATTAATATCATGAAAATTATTCAACTAAAAATGGTTAAAATACACTATTGTATAATTAGTTTATTTTAATTTTTAAATAATACAAAATACAATCAATTTTCTTAGGTCAGATGTGTAGTCATAATTGTATGATTGAAGCCTGCCCAGGCAGCCAGTAGTGTTTGTCAAGAGAAGGGGCACAAGTGAGTGTTTGGAGAAGGGGATGAAATATATAATCTAGATTTATGACATTTTTTAAGCCATCAAATGATACAGGATAGGTTGATCTTACATGAATATAATAATACCTTTAAGATTTAGGCTCAGACACACAGTCAACAGACTCCCTAGGCATAACAGTATATCATCACTGTAGAAAGGCCATGCTTTTATGTGATATATCACATTTTATTATATAAAATGATATAAGTGCTGATATGTTTGAGCATTGATAACAATTATCAAGTTTGAAGTTCAAGATTTAATGCCTTAATGAACATTATCAAGGATCAAGTTCATGAATTAATGCCCTAATGAACAATATCAAGGTTGAAGTTCATGAATTAAAGACCTAATGAACATTATCAAGGTCGAAGTTCATGAATTAATGCGATAATTAACATTCCATGCTCACAGTTGCCTGTCAGTCAGTATCCTATGTTATGCTATAATGAGCTAACAAACTTGAAAATAATTTTTAATATTTGATTTGCGTACTTCATATATTTATAAAAACAGGAAGACAGTAACTCCGAAAAGAGACAGACACATTTTGAAAGTCAACGTTTCAATCTACTTGATCATTTCCAAGAATACTGATGAGAAAATCTCACCCATCCATATATAATGTTTACAGAAGTATAACAAAAGCAAATAAAAACCCACCAATAAGATTAAAATCAAAATTAAAACTAGCCAATTAAAGTGAGGTTATTAAAATGAGGTGTGTCTTACATTAAGTAGATCACTTGTTTTCATGAATAAACAATGAATATTCAACAATTGTATAGAAGCCTTGGAATGCTAGCCCAATGAAAGTTTCATATATTTATGGCATTAATTTTAAATTGTGCAAAAATTATTTTCTTGTCAATTAACAGACTGTTATACCTTTTTTGATAAACTTTATTTTTGAACAGTCAGAATAAGTTCCAAAAATGAAAATAAAATTTATTTTTCATTTACTAAAAATGGTTCTGAAAAAAGCAAAAACAAAAATAATTTTACTGAAGAATATAAAAATGCTATAGTAAAGCCCTGTCCAGACTATCAAATTTTATTTGACAAAAACATGTGACATGCCTAAATATAGTCATGATGACATCACATTATGACCATATATAGGCACATCATGACCATATATAGGCACATCATGACTATATATGGGCTTAAAACAGTTTTTTGTCAAAGAAAATTTTATGATGTGGACAGAGCTTAAGTAAAAAAGTAATAGAGGGCGCCCTTAGGCCCATGCTCAAGTTTGTGTGGCGTGGTTGTGAAGAATGTGATGTGATGAACACAGTTTGCGGCAGGTTTGTAAAGAAGTTATGATATACTTTTATAATTGTCCCTTTTGGCCAGTAATCAATGTATAGATTTTGTACTAAAAGGTTCTGTAGTAAAAAGTTTTTATGAACTGTGTATCATTTAAATTTAATGACTTGCTTGATATCTTGAAAATGAGCAAATCAAATATACTATGTTATAGTATATTTTGCTTTGTTAAATTGTATAAGCGCCGCGGTGCTTATACAATTTTTAGAGGCTTCAGTGCAGTGCTTATTCAAGAGCAGAGTGACACTATTAAGAAAATATTGGTGTAGAGCTTTCCATGCATTCCCATGTTATCTATCTCATGTATTCCTGTAGTTCGGTAGGCCTATCATAGGTCCTACATCATTGTAAATAAACATCAAAGATCTTATAAACACAAGATAGCATTCTCTGTGAGATTTGTGGTCAGATTCTAAAGTGATTACTTTTGCACTTTGACCGCTTTGACCATAGCATACACCGCACAACTTTACCTTAATGCGTAACAATTAGAAGTGTCGATTTACAATGAGCCCTCTCTTTAAAAAAATTAAGGAACATTTAACATACTTGGTGTCGTGTGATGTGAACACCTTATCTCGGATCGATGGCAAAAAATGCAGTAGTATGCCCTCTCCCAAAAGAGATTACCGTTCTGCCAAATTGATGCTTCTATTTGTTACATGTAAATCGCGAAGAACGCTATCTTGAGTTTATAGGATCTTTTATAAAGATATGCTTAGTGTCTTCATTTCAATACTGTTTATTAAGATTGCTTATTTCAGCAGACTGGTAGTATGCTTTGTACACCATTCTTTGTTGTTGTAGGACGGCCCTCATTATCTCAGTTGTATATTATAGTTGTTTCTTATCCCATTTGTACAGTCTCCTGATAAAGTCCACTGTGTGGATGAAACATAGAGAATGAATTCTATATTCTCAAAAGTGCTGCTTTCATTTACTTTATATTGTTCTACTATACCGTCTTCATTTTGTTATTTATTCATTTGAACGCCATATAAATTGTATTAAAACCCTGTTTCTCAAAGTGTTTCATTACACACATGGTAATATGTGCTCTTGATTATTATTGTTATTCGAGAGCGGCGCTTATTTGAGGATTTACGGTATAAGTAGATGATGTTGCACTTACTTTTATATATAGTTTATTAATTTGATGATTTTATTTGCATAGTACAATACATACATGCACAAAGTTATCCTTTTTATTATAAAAATATTTTCTTGCTCATCCTTGATGAAAAGCACTGTTAAGGCGATCAACTGTTCTTGTGGTTAATTTTTTTTATATTAAGCTTTCTTGTCTGCATTTTTTCTCTTCTATTATATTAAATTACATTAATTCGCTAGCCAAATATAAAAATATACAATTAAAAGAAAAGGTAAAAAAAATTATTCCTTGACATTGTTTCTGAAGTATAATGACCTGTATTAATCAAAATCTGACATATTTATTTTTCATTTTATTTTTAATGAGAATTTCTCGTTATTAGCTACAGTAATACATAAGAAATTATTTCAGATTGAAAATTAGTTATTATATTTTGACATTGTCTTTAGTACCTTGTAAAAATAAATTTTCAAATAAATCATCCAGAAGTCAATTCTATCAATGAGTTGACAATGTCAGCTTTTGAAGTTGTATTTACGCTCTTAGCTATATACACGCCATTGCATCAATTAACAATTGATTTTTTTTTCCCGTCATTGACGTTAAGAAATTTAACCAGCCAAATATGAGATTCTGTAGTCACCAATTGGTCATGAATATTTATTAATAGACTTGCATATTCATAGTTATAAATATTTATAGTAGTGATAAATATTCATATTAGAAATTGCTTATTTGTACAATAAGAATATTGATTTTATTAATAAACTCTTTATAGTACAATAAGTATAAGGTTTTATTAATAAACTCTTAATGAATTATTATTATATCTACATATACACTACAGTAATTAATGTATAAAATGTAGACCATATAACAGAAAGTCTAGATAATAATATGGTGATATAGGCTTACCATATGCATGTAAATATTGTTTATTATTTATTTATTGATCTTTATTCCTGTACATTTTGTACATACATCAGGCCTTGATCCATTTTGGTTAAGATGAACATCCCATTATTATTTTATACTTTTATATTTAAATATAATTTATTATAATTTTTGTATAGTATTTACAGTATGTATTACAATAATTTATAATCCTTTTAAAAAACATTTAACAACTTCTTTTTTTTACACAAACAATGTGGTTGAGTTCATGCCCTGGATTGTAGGTCATAACCTAAAAAAAAATTGGTTAAATAACATTTTGACTGCTCCATCAAACGTTGATTTAATACACAAGCAGTTAGCCCTAGCTCTGGGGCACGTCAAGGAGTAAAATAATTTTTTTTCCTGTCTGAAATGAAATTTTGATTTATAGACAGAATGCTGTTTGGGTGACTATCTTTAGCCCTGAATAAATACCAGCAATAGGGGTCACATTAACTTTCAATGCCCTCAGTGACTGTATATCAGAGACTTGTGAAGCGAGGCCTATGTTCAGTATTTAGGTATCTTGGCTAATCGTGTCGCAAACCGGGTTGACCATAATTGAGACACTGTATCAGGTTACATCTCTAGGGTTTGTTGATTAATGGCTGACGGGTTTGTGACAAAGGCCAGTCTGGGTACCCTTAATACCCTTAATCTGTTTAACCTAGTCTTGTATGCAGATCCTGTAAGATTTCTGATAAATTTTGTGTTATGTTTGATGTGACATAATTTTTTTTCCTACCCTTCTATCAGACAGGATGTTGAATAACAGCAGGTTTCTGAGCACCAAAGGAAAGGGAGAAAATTTGAGACATGATCAACAGGTGAAAATATTACTGGTACCACTCTCTTGCTACTGTTGGAGGATGAGGAGGAGGATAATACCGTAGAAAACCTCTGCGAGGTTAGTTCATGTAAAATGTTTTTATTGAATGTGAGCCCTCAATAGTTTCCCTTATCTTCTTCTATTCCTGGAATTTTACCACACTGCTGTCTGTCATGCTAGCTATATCTAAATGTTTCTGCCAATAAAACACCATTTTTATAGACTAGGAAAAATAAATGTATTTAACCTACTGTATTGTACCATTTTTGAAAACTTTATTTATTTTACCAAACAATTGAATAATATTTTAATAATACTGTGCTAATCCTAATTATATTTGTCATGTCAATTTAAAAATCAATAATAATTCTTTTGAAATAAAATAATACAACAAACTGTAATACCATTACTATTTCATGTCACTTTCTTACCACAATTAAAAACATTGCAATTTATAACGTTTAACCACATTAAAATTTTAAACATTATATGAAATTACAGTTAAAACATACTTATTATTTAAAAACATGTTTCCCATAATACAAGTACTACAATTAAAAACAGCATCAAAACTTAAGATAATGTTTCTTTTTACAATTAATCATAAAAACAGAAAAAAGAAATCCCAATACGAAACCACTTAAAAGCCAATTAAGAAAACATGGACTATACTACACATAGGGTCATTGGTTTATATCCTCAAATGAGTCAACTGTGGGGATTCAAACAAATTAAAATCAGTTGGCCTAATAAAAGTAAATGAAACTAGAGAATTGTCATAATTTTTTATACCACAATATGATTAAAATTCTTATGCTTACAATTATGTCATTACTATAATTTTTTTTATGATACTTTTGAGTCTGGTGCATTTTTGGAATACATTATTGTGCATATTTTCTATTTATTTGTTATTGTTATTACTATATCGTTTTTATGTTACCAGTGTGTTATATTAGGCACCTACTGAATACCAATTTGCTACATTGTGCCTTGTTTGCTAAGTGTTGTTTAATAACAAGATTATATACAATATAGTAACAATTGCCT